CCTGGGACAGCCGGGGGCTGAGGAGATGGAACTCCAGATGTGTGTGAAATGTGGGCACAGCTGGAACGTGGGGGAACCTGGGCAGGGGTGAGGGGTGCAGAAAATGGGTGAGGGCAAGGTTTGGGATGAGGAATTGTGTGGATGGAGTAAAATAAAGAGTAAATACAAAGTTTGGGATAAGGGATGGTGTGGATGGAGTAAAATAAAGAGTAAATGCAAGGTTTGGGGTAAGGGATGGTGTGGATGGAGTAAAATAAAGAGTAAATGCAAGGTTTGGGATAAGGAATGGTGTGGATGGAGTAAAATAAAGAGTAAATGCAAGGTTTGGGGTAAGGGATGGTGTGGATGGAGTAAAATAAAGAGTAAATGCAAGGTTTGGGATAAGGAATGGTGTGGGTGGTGCAGAATAAAGGGTAAATGCAATGTTTGGGATAAGAAGTCACATGGATGGTGTAAAGGGTGAGTGCAAGGTTTGGGATAAGGAATGTGGGTGGTTTAGAATAAAGGTAAATGCAAGGTGTGAGATAAGGGATGGTGTGGATGGAATAAAATAAAGGGTAAATGCAAGGTGTGGGATAAGGGATGGTGTGGATGGTGGAAAGATGAGTGCAAGGAGTGATATAAGGGATGGTGTGGATGGTGTAAAATGAGGGTAAATGCCAAGGTTTGGGATGAGGGATGGTGTGGATGGCACAGAATGAAGGGTGGATGCAAGGTGTGGGATAAGGGATGGTGTGGATGGTGTAAAGGATGAGTACAAGGTGTAAGATAAGTGTCCCAGGGTGCCGTTATGATGCTTGTATCCCCATTCATGTGTTCTGTTAATGTTGGATATTGTGTTCTGTACCTTTAAGACCGGCTCTGAAGAGGGAAAGTTTTGTTTTGGTTTTCTTATCAGCCTGGCGGGACACAGAGACTGCAGCTTTTGCTTTTCTGCTTTTGCTTTTTGCTTTGCTCTCTCGCTCTTGCTTGCTTCGCTTCTGCTTGCTTTTGCTCATTAGCTAGTTTAGCTGAACTGTCCAATTTCTTCCTGGACTGTTTCTCCTTTCCTTTTTCTGACCATTTTGAACCTGCTCCAGACTGGGACCTGGGAAACACCGAGAGTTTGCACCTTGCAGCCTGCAGCAGCTGCCCCAGCGCCGGAGGGACTGAGAACAGAGTGACCACCCCCCAAGAGAGACTTTCTGAATTTGTCATCTTTTTCAGAGCAGTGCCATCCTGTATTGCTCATTTTGTGTGTTGGGGGGTGTTTTGCCTGTTAAATAAACAGGTTCTTTCCACTTCTCTCCAAGGAATCCTTCCCGACCTGGTTGTGGGGAGGGGCTGTGTGGGTTTGCTCTCTGGAGGGGCCCCTTTTCTCCCAAATATGCCCTAAACCAGGACAATGGTGCAGAATAAATGACCAGCGCAAGGTTTGGGATAAGGAATGGGGCGGATGGAGTAAAATAAAGGGTAAATGCAAGGTGTGAGATAAGGAGTGGTGTGGGTGGAGTAAAGGGTGAGTACAAGGTTTAGGATAAGGAATTATGTGGACAGTGTAGAATAAAGGGTGAGTGCAAGGTGTGGGATGAGGAATGGTGTGGATGGTGCACCATGCACACCAGAAAAAAGGACCAGTGCAAGGTGTGGGATAATGAGTGGTGCAGAAAAAAGGGTGAGTGCAAGGTGTGGGATAAGGAATGGTGTGGACAGTGTAGAATAAAGAGTAAATGCAAGGTGTGGGATAAGGAAGAATGTGGACAGTGTAGAATAAAGGATGAGTGCAAGGTGTGGGATAAGGAATGGTGTGGATGGAGTAAAGGATGAGTGCAAGGTTTGGGTTAAGGAATGGTGTGGATGGTTCAGAATAAAGAACCAGTGCAAGGTTTGGGTTAAGGAATGGTGTGGATGGTGCAGAATAAAGAACCAGTGCAAGGTGTGGGATAAGGAAGAATGTGGACAGTGTAGAATAAAGGATGAGTGCAAGGTGTGGGATAAGGAATGGTGTGGATGTTGCAGAAAAAAGGATGAGTGGAAGGCTTAGGATATGGAATGATGTGGACAGTGTAGAATAAAGAGTAAATGTAAGGTCTGGGTTAAGGGATGGTGTGGATGGTGTAAAATAAAGGATAAGTGCAAGGTGTGGGATAAGGGATGGTGTGGATGGTGTAAAGGGTGAGTACAAGGGATAAGAAATGACATGGATGGTGCAGAATAAAGGGTAAATGCAAGGTGTGAGATAAGGGATGGTGCAGAATAGAGGATGAATGCAAGGTTTGGGATAAGAAATTACATGGATGGTGTAAAGGGTGAGTGCAAGGTTTGGGATAAGGAATGACATAGATGGTGCAGAAAAAAGAGTAAATGCAAGGTGTGGGATAAGGAATGGTGTGGATGGTGTAGAATAAAAGGTAAATGCAAGGTTTGGGATAAGCAATGGTGTGGATGGTGCAAGAATAAAGAATCACACCAGTACACATCCATGGTGTGGATGGTGTAAAGAGTGAGTGCAAGGGATAAGGGATGACATGGATGGTGTAGAATAAAGGATGAGTGCAAGGTTTGGGATAAGAAATTACATGGATGGTGTAAAGGGTGAGTGCAAGGTTTAGGATAAGGAATGATGTGGACAGAGTAGAATAAAGGGTGAGTGCAAGGTGTGGGATAAGGAATGACATGGATGGTGCAGAATAAAGGGTAAATGCAATGTGTGCGATAAGGAATGGTGCAGAAAAAGGGACCAGTGCAAGGTGTGGGGTAATGAACGGTGCAGAAAAAAGGGTGAGTGCAAGGTTTAGGGTAAGGAATGATGTGGACAGAGTAGAATAAAGGGTGAGTGCAAGGTGTGGGATGAGGAATGGTGTGGATGGAGTAGAATAAAGAACCAGTGCAAGGTTTGGGATAAGGAATGGTGTGGATGGTGTAAAGGGTGAGTGCAAGGGATAAGGAGAGGTGTGGATGGTGTAGAATAAAGGATGAGTGCAAGGTTTGGGATAAGGAATTAATGAGAACAGTGTAGAATAAAGAGTGAGTGCAAACTGTGGGATAAGGAATGGTGCAGAATAAAGGGTGAGTGCAAGGTGTGAGATAAGGAGTGGTGCAGAATAAAGGGTGAGTGCAAGCTGTGGAAGAAAAAATGGTGTGGATGGTGCAGAAAAAAAAGGTCAAATGCACTTTGGTGTGGATGGTGTAGAATAAAAGGTCAAATGCACTTTGGTGTGGATGGTGTAGAATAAAGGATGAGTGCAAGGAGGGGGCAGAGGAATGACACGGATGGAGTGCAGTAAGGGAAGGGGAAAGGCCTGGCTGTGGCCAGGACAGGGTTAATTCCTGCAGCAGCTGCGAGGGGCAGCGCCAGCACCCCGAGTCCTCACCCTTGGGGCTGTGTGTGCTGAAACCCTCGGGCTCTGGGGGGCAGAACTGAGGAGACACCTTGGAGGCACTGCCCAGGGAAAGGGAATGAGAGGAGCAAAGGAAAGGGAATGAGAGGAGCAAAGGAAAGGGAATGGAAGGAGCAAAGGAGAGGGAATGGAAGGAGCAAAGGAAAGGGAAGGAAAGGAGCAAAGGAAAGGGAATGAAAGGAGCAAAGGAAAGGGAAGGAAAGGATCCAATGAAAGGGAATGGAAGGAGCAAAGGAAAGGGAATGAAAGGATCCAAGGAAAGGGAATGAAAGGATCCAAGGAAAGGGAATGAAGGGAGCAAAGGAAAGGGAATGAGAGGAGCAAAGGAAAGGGAATGAGAGGAGCAAAGGAAAGGGAATGGAAGGATCCAAGGAAAGGGAATGAAAGGAGCAAAGGAAAGGGAATGAAAGGAGCAAAGGAAAGGGAATGAAAGGATCAGAGTCCCCGTGTCCCCCCCTCACCTTCTCCAGGTGAAATCCCAGGTACAACCTGCAGATGAGGGCACTCCCCCTCCTCCAGGTGTGCCCCACCTGAGGCAGCACCAACCCTGGGGTGCTCCAGCTCTGACACCCCTGGGGCATGGGGGCTTGGGGATGAATCTGGGGGGATTTGGGGATGAATGTGGGGGGATTTGGGGGCATTTGGGGACGAATTTGGGGATGAATCTGAGGTCGTTTGGGGATGAATTTGGATAATTTGGGGATGAATTTCGGGTCGGATTTGGGGATGAATTTGAGGTCGTTTGGGGCGATCTGTGGATGATTTTTGGGTAATTTTGGGTGGTGAGGGGGTAATTTAGGGGAGAAGATTCAGGGATATTTCAAGGTGATTTTGGGGCTATCCTGAGGCGACTTGGCAGATTTTTGGAGGTGATTTTGGGGTGGTTTGGGGCTGATTTTGGGGATTTCTTTGGAGTGGTTTTGAGTGATTTTTGTGTGGTCTTGGGGGATTTTTGGAGGTGATTTTGGGATAGTTTGGGGGTGATTTTGGGGTGGTTTGGGGCTGATTTTGGGATAGTTTGGGGGTGATTTTGGGGTGGTTTGGGGCTGATTTTGGCGATTTCTTGGGAGTGGTTTTGAGTGATTTTTGTGTGGTCTTGGGGGATTTTTGGAGGTGATTTTGGGGTGGTTTGGGGCTGATTTTGGGGATTTCTTGGGGATGGTTTTGAGTGATTTTTGTGTGGTCCCGGGGATGGTTTTGGGGAGATGTTTGGGGTGATTCTGGAGGTGCTACTCAGTGCTGGGGTGGTGCTGCCCCCCTGCACTGGCCAGACTGTCCCAGGTGTCACCTGAGCCAGGACCTGCCACACCTGGATCCCAGCCTGGCTTTATTTCAATCAAATCCTTGGTTTTATTGTCTTTTTTCCTGTTTGTTTTTGCCTGAAACACCTGAAGGGCTGAGGTTGGTATTACCTGGAGCATCCAGGTGTGAGGGATCTGGGGATCAACCTCCCACCCCTGGGCAGATCCCTCACCTGGACACCTGCCCAGAGCCGCTTCAATCACTTCACACATCCAGCAGAAAAAGCCAAATCTTTGCTTATTCTCCCCAAATCTTTGCTTTTCTCCCCAAAAATACCCAGCAATCTCCCCTCCCCCCCCCCACCCCGAGTTATTCCTTTCTCTCCCAATTTTCCATAATTAAATCTGGATCTGGAATTCTTGATGACCTTATGAGATCACTTCACACCTGCACCCACCTGGAGGCAACACCTGTCCCCAGGTGGGTGCACACCTGGTGCCCCAGAGCTGCAGCACTGGAGCATCCTGTCCATGCCAGGAGTCACCTGTGGGCAGGGCTGCCAGGTGACCACACCTGGGGCTCTCCAGGTGTTCCCTGGGAGGGGGGGTGACCACACCTGGGGCTCTCCAGAGGCTCTCCAGGTGTTCCTTTTGACAGGGGATGGCCAGGTAACAACACCTGGGGGCTCTCCAGAGGCTTTCCAGGTGCTCCTTTTGATGGGCGATGGCCAGGTAACAACACCTGGGGGCTCTCCAGGTGTTCCCTGCAAGGGGGGTGGCCAGGTGACCACACCTGGGGCTCTCCAGAGGCTTTCCAGGTGCACCTTTTGATGGGGGATGGCCAGGTAACAACACCTGGAGGGGGTCTCCAAAGGGTTTCCAGGTGTTCCCTGCAAGGGGAGGTGGCCAGGTGACCACACCTGGGGGGTCTCCAAAGCGTTTCCAGATGTTCCTATTGAGGGTGGTGGCCAGGTAACAACACCTGGGGGCTCTCCAGAAGGTGTCCAGGTGCTCTTTTCAAGGGGGGTGGCCAGGTGACCACACCTGGGGGCTCTCCAGGTGCTCTTTTCAAGGAGGGTGGCCAGGTGACCACACCTGGGGGTTCCCAAATCTCGGCTGTGTCCTCGTGCTGGGAGTGGAGGGTGTCCAGGTGTGCTGAGAGGCTGCAGGTGCTCCTCACCTGTCCCTCACCTGGCCCCTATTTCAGGATGATGTGGTAGCTGTCGTTGGTTTCGGCTGCAAAGGAAGCCCAGGACAGGTGAGGGAAGGTGGGAGGGGCTGGTGTGACCCAGGTGTGGCCCAAACACAGAGCCCAGGTACTCACACACCTTTCAGGGTGTCCAGGACAAAGCAGGATTCATCCTGGAAGTTCTGGATCATCTGGAAAAAAAACCCCAAACAGCACCAATTTAGGGCTTTTTTTTTTTTGGGAAGAATTTGGGTTCCAAAGGGTGGGAGGTGCCCAGGTGGGAGCTCAGGTGGGAGCTTTGGAAGCACCCACCAGAAATATTTATTTATTTGGGCCCTTCCCAGCACCTGCTCAGGTGATGCTGCCCCCAGAGTGACCCCAGGTGTGCCCTGGGGTAGGGGGCATAGGCTGGCACTGCCAGGGGTGCCCTGGGGCAGGTGGGAGTTACCTGGTTGGTGCCAGGTGTGCCCTGGGGCAGATGGGCATTACCTGGTCGCTGACCAGCACAGGGATCTCTGTGGGGCAGGTGGGCATTCCCTGGGGCGGGTAGGGGTTACCTGGGGCAGGTGGGCATTACCTGGGGCAGGTGGGGGTTCCCTGGGGCAGGTAGGGGTTACCTGGGGCTGGTGGAGGTTATCTGGTCGCTGACCAGCACAGGGATCCCCGTGGGACAGGTGGGCATTACCTGGTTGATGCCAGGTGTGCCCTGGGGTAGGTGGGCATTACCTGGGGCAGGTGTGGTTACCTGGGGCAGGGGGGGCATTACCTGGGGCAGGTGGGCATTACCTGGGGTGGGTGTGGTTACCTGGGGCAGGTGAGGTTACCTGGGTCAGGTGGGGTTACCTGGGGCAGGGGGCATTGCCTGGGGCAGGGGGGCATTGCCTGGGGCAGGTGTCGTTACCTGGGGCAGGGGGGGGTTACCTGGGGCAGGTGGGCATTGCCTGGGGCGGGGGGGCATTCCCTGGGGCAGGTGAGGTTACCTGGGGCAGGGGAGGTTACCTGGGGCAGGGGGGGTTACCTGGGGCAGGTGAGGTTACCTGGGGCAGGGGGCATTACCTGGTTGGTGCCAGGTGTGCCCTGGGGCAGGTATTGTTACCTGGGGCAGGTGGGGTTACCTGGGGCAGGGGGGCATTACCTGGGGCAGGTGGGGTTACCTGGGGCAGGTGAGGTTACCTGGGGCAGGTGTGGTTACCTGGGGCAGGTGGGCATTCCCTGGGGCAGGTGTGGTTACCTGGGGCAGGGGGCATTACCTGGTTGGTGCCAGGTGTGCCCTGGGGCAGGTGTGGTTACCTGGGGCAGGTGAGGTTACCTGGGGCAGGGGGGCATTACCTGGGGCAGGTGAGGTTACCTGGGGCAGGTGAGGTTACCTGGTCACTGACCAGCACGTGGATGCCCGTGGGGCAGGTGGGGGTTACCTGGGGCACGTGAGGTTACCTGGGGCAGGTGTGGTTCCCTGGGGCAGGTGTGGTTCCCTGGGGCAGGTGTTGTTACCTGGGGCAGGTGAGGTTACCTGGGGCAGGTATTGTTACCTGGGGCAGGTGAGGTTACCTGGGGCGGGTGTGGTTACCTGGGGCAGGTGTTGTTACCTGGGGCAGGTGGGCATTCCCTGGGGCAGGTATTGTTACCTGGGGCAGGTGTTGTTACCTGGGGCACGTGAGGTTCCCTGGGGCAGGTGTGGTTCCCTGGGGCAGGTGGGGTTACCTGGGGCAGGTGTGGTTCCCTGGGGCAGGTGTGGTTCCCTGGGGCAGGTATTGTTACCTGGGGCAGGTGGGCATTCCCTGGGGCAGGTGTTGTTACCTGGTCGCTGACCAGCACGTGGATGCCCGTGGGGCCCTGTTTGTAGATGTGCTGGATGTGCTGGGCGGGCACCCGGAACAGCTGCGCCAGCTTCTCGGCCAGCTCGGCCGCCGTCAGCTCCTCCAGGTACACGGCGTGGTACACTGCGGGCACAGCACCTGCCAGGTGAGCCCAGTGTGCCCAGGGTGCCAGCACAGCACCTGCCAGGTGAGCCCAGGTGTGCCAGCACAGCACCTGCCAGGTGAGCCCAGTGTGCCCAGTGTGCCAGCACAGCACAGCCATACCTGCCAGGTGAGCCCAGTGTGCCAGCACAGCACAGCCACACCTGCCAGGTGAGCCCAGTGTGCCCAGTGTGCCAGCACAGCACAGCCATACCTGCCAGGTGAGCCCAGTGTGCCCAGTGTGCCAGCACAGCACCTGCCAGGTGAGCCCAGTGTGCCCAGGGTGCCAGCACAGTACAGCCATACCTGACAGGTGAGCCCAGTGTGCCCAGTGTGCCAGCACAGCACCTGCCAGGTGAGCCCAGTGTGCCCAGTGTGCCAGCACAGCACAGCCATACCTGACAGGTGAGCCCAGGTGTGCCAGCACAGCCACCTGGGCTGGGCACAGCTCTGCTCAGGACAGGGGCCTGCCTGTCACCTGTCACAGGTGCCTGGTACTGTGACCTGCCTGGCACCATGACCTGTCACCTGTGCCCTGTCACCTGTGCCCTGTCACCTGTGTCCTCCCTGTCACCTGTGCCCTGTCACCTGTGTCCTGTCACCTGTGCCTGCCCTGTCACCTGTGTCCTGTCACCGTGTCCTGCCTGGCCCCACAACCCCCCAGTGCCCCTGGGCAGCAGTACCTGCTCTGTTCAGGTGAGTTTGTCCCCAGCAGGATGGGAATGCTGGGAACCAGCCACTCCCCCACCTCCAGGTGTGCTCCCTCCCCCACCTCCAGGTGAGTTCCAGCTCCTCCCACCCCCCCATGTGAGTCCCAGCCCCTCCAGGTGAGTTCCCAGCCCCCCCAGGTGAGCTCCCACCCCTCCAGGTGAGTCCCACCCCTCCAGGTGTGCTCTCAGCTCCCCCAGGTGAGCTCCCACCCCCCCAGGTGAGTTCCCAGCCCCCCAGGTGAGTTCCCACCCCCCAGGTGTCTCCCCAGCCCCCACTCACCAAAGAAGGTGCCGCTGCCTCCATCACCGTCCTCGTGCTCGTGCTGGGGCTCCCTCACCTGCTGCGACTCCTGGCACACGTAGATGGTCAGGCGGGGCCGCACCATCCTGGGACAGGTGAGGGTCACCTGGGGCTGTCCCTGCCCAGCCCCTCCCCTGGGCCAGGTGTCCCCAGGGGGAGCTGGATGAGCCCATCCCAACCCCTGAGCTCCAGGTGTCCCCTCGGTGGCCCTGGCCAGCCTTCCCTGCAATTCCCACCTGAGGAGCTCCCCTGTCCCTCTCAGGTGTCTCATTATGCTCCTCTGGAATTCCCACCTGGCAATTCCCACCTGGGCCCCCTGTCCCTCTCAGCCTCCCAAAATGCTCCAGGTGTGTCCAACCCCTGATTTTTCAGGCACGGTGTGAGGAACATCCACCCCCTTTGGGAACCTTCTGGGCAGGTCCCAGGTGGAGACAGCACCTGGAGCAGCAGGAGCTCCTGGCCTGGGGCTCCAGGCCTGGGGTCTCAAACTCAAAGAATCCCTAATTTCCAAATCCCAATTTGTAATTCCTAATTTCTAATTCCCAATTCCCAATCCCCAATTCCCAGTCCTTAATTCCTAATCCCTGATCCCCAATCCCTAATCTCCAATTCCCAATTACTAATTTCCAATCCCCAATTCCCAATTTCTCTCTCCAACCTGGACCTCCTTCCCCAAAGTTCCTCTGAATTCCTCACTCAGATGGGAAAAAGCTGGGCCAGGTGAGTCCCAGCCCCCCCAGATGACCCCACCCCCCCCCCCCCAGGTGAATCCTGACCCCCCCCAGGTGAGTCCTGACCCCCCCAGGTGAGTCCTGACCCCCCCCAGGTGAGCCCCACCTGCCCTTGAGGGCGTTGAAGAGCCGGATGCCGTCGGCGGGGCCGCAGATCTGGATCACGTCCTCCCGTGTCAGCTTCAGCAGGTCTGCCCCTGGGAAAGCCCCAAATTCACCCAGAGTCACCCCAAAATTCACCCCAAAATTCATCCCAAATTCATCCCAAAATTCATCCCAGATTCACCCCAAAATTCACCCAGATTGACCCCAAAATTCACTCCAAATTCACCCCAAAATTCACCCCAGTCACCCCAGAGTCACCCCAGATTCACCCCAAATTCATCTCAAATTCACTCCCAAATTCACCCAGATTGACCCCAAAATTCACCCTAGAGTCACTCCAGATTCACCCTAAAATTCAGCCCAAATTCACCTCAGAGTCACCTCAAATTTGCCCTAAATTCACCCAGATTCACCCCAGATTTACCCCAAATTCACCTCAAAATCACCCTAAATTCACCCCAAATGTTGGGGTGACCTGGCCCAGGTGAGGAGAAGTGACCCTGCCCAGGTGAGGTGACCCTGTCCAGCTGAGGGCAGGTGACCCAGCCTAGGTGAGGGGAGGTGACCCTGCCCAGGTGAGGTGACCCTGTCCAGCTGAGGTAACCCAGGCCAGCTGAGGGCAGAACTCACCTGAGAAGTTCCTGAAGAGCCGTGAGAAGGTGGAGAAGCGGTTGCGGTGCAGCCACTGCTGAGCCTCCTGCGGGCTCCAGGCGGGCAGCAGCGTCTGGGGGGACACAGGTGCTGCCAGGTGACCTGCCTGGCCAGCTCAGGGGCACAGGTGAGCTCAGGGTGGGCCAGCACGGGTGGGAAATGAACCCCTGAGCAGGGGGGAGGAGGTGATGACCTCAGGTGACCTGGAAATGCCTCCAGGTGATGTGGAAGTGCTGTGGTACAGGTGAGCTCAGGGTGGGCCAGCACAGGTGGGAATTGAGCCCCTGAGCAGGTGGGACCCAGAAATGTCTCCAGGTGATGTGGAAGTGTTTCTACTGAGGTACAGGTGAGCTCAGGTAAGCATAGGTGGGAGGAGGTGAGGACCTCAGGTGACCTGGAAATGTCTCCAGGTGACGTGGAAGTGTTTCTTCCCACAGAGCCCACCTGTGCCTCACCTGGGTGTGGAACACAGCCCACCTGTGCCTCACCTGGATGTAGGACACAGGTGAGCTCAGGTGAACTCAGGGTGGGTCAGCACAGGTGGGAAATGAACCCCTGAGCAGGGGGGATGAGGTGAGGACCTCAGAGGTGACCTGGACATGCCTCCAGGTGATGTGGAAGTGTGGAAGTGCTGAGGCACAGGTGAGCTCAGGTGAGCTCAGGGTGGGCCAGCACAGGTGGGAATTGAACTCCTGAGCAGGTGGGAGGAGGTGAGGACCTCAGAGGTGACCTGGGCATGACTCCAGGTGATGTGGAAATGTTTCTGCTGAGGTACAGGTGAGCTCAGGTGGGAGGAGGTGATGACCTCAGAGGTGACCTGGACATGCCTCCAGGTGATGTGGAAGTGTGGAAGTGCTGAGGCACAGGTGAGCTCAGGGTGGGCCAGCACAGGTGGGAATTCCCCCCCAGGTGGGGACAGCGGGGTCTCCCAGGTGTCTGCAGGTGACCCCAGGGCTCCCTGTGGAAGCCCCAGGTGTACCTGGGCAGGTACCTGGGCAGGTACTTACGTCAGCCAGGGGCGCCGGGGGGGTCGGGCTGGTGGCTCGGGGATCCGCTGCTGGGGACAGAGGGACACGGGTCACTGGGACAGAGGGACAGAGGGACAGGGGGACACGGGTCACTGGGACAGGGGGACAGGGGGACACTGGGGACACTGGGACAGGGGGACACGGGTCACTGGGACAGGGGGACAGAGGGACACTGGGGACACTGGGACAGGGGGACACGGGTCACTGGGACAGGGGGACAGGGGGACATGGGTCACTGGGACAGGGGGACAGGGGGACACTGGGGACACTGGGACAGGGGGACAGAGGGACAGGGGGACACGGGTCACTGGGACAGGGGGACAGGGGGACACGGGGACAGAGGGACACAGGGGACATGGGGACAGGGAGACACTGGGACAGGGGGACAGAGGGACACGGGGACAGAGGGACACTGGGGACATGGGGACAGGGGGACATGGGTCACTGGGGACACTGGGACAGAGGGACAGAGGGACACGAGGCACTGGGGACACTGGGACAGGGGGACAGAGGGACAGGGGGACACGGGTCACTGGGACAGAGGGACAGGGGGACACGGGGACAGAGGGACACGGGGGACAGAGGGACACTGGGGATACTGGGACAGGGGGACAGAGGGACACGGGGACAGAGGGACACTGGGGATACTGGGACAGGGGGACAGAGGGACACGGGTCATTGGGGATACTGGGACAAAGGGACACTGGGACAGAGGGACACGGGTCACTGGGGACACTGGGACAGAGGGACACTGGGGACACTGGGACAGAAGGACATGGGGACAGGGGGACACTGGGGACACTGTGAGGGCACTGGGGTCACAATGGGATGGCACTGGGGCTACTGGGATGGCAGTGAGATGATACGGGGATGGCACTGGGATGGCACTGGTGCCACCCCCGCCCCAGTCTGACCCACCCCCAGCTCCCAGCACTCCCAGCACTCCCAGTTCCAGCATTCCCAGTGCTCCCAGTCTCCCAAGCACTCCCAGCATTCCCAGCACTCCCAGTATTCCCAGTTCCAGTGCTCCCAGCACTCCCAGTCTGGCACTCCCGGTATTCCCAGTACTCCCAGTCCCAGCGCTCACCCGTCCCCGATGGAGAAGCTGCTGTGGGAGCTGTTGAAGCCGGGCGAGGGCGCGTTGGGCACGTAGGTGACCTCGGGCCAGGGCGAGCACTGCGGGCATGCCAGGTGAGCCCAGGGGCACCGGGACTGCACCTGCACCTACCTGGGCTACACCTGTACACACCTGGGCTACACCTGTACACACCTGCACACACCTGGGACTGCACCTGTACACACCTGGGACTGCACCTGCACACACCTGGGCTACACCTGCACACACCTGGGACTGCACCTGTACACACCTGGGCTACACCTGCACACACCTGGGACTGCACCTGCACACACCTGGGCTACACCTGCACACACCTGTACACACCTGGGCTACACCTGTACACACCTGGGACTGCACCTGCACACACCTGCACACACCTGGGCTACACCTGCACACACCTGGGACTGCACCTGTACACACCTGGGACTGCACCTGCACACACCTGGGCTACACCTGCACACACCTGTACACACCTGGGCTGCACCTGCACACACCTGCACACACCTGTACACACCTGGGCTACACCTGTACACACCTGGGCTACACCTGCACACACCTGCACACACCTGGGCTACACCTGTACACACCTGGGACTGCACCTGTACACACCTGCACACACCTGGGCTACACCTGCACACACCTGCACACACCTGGGCTACACCTGCACACACCTGGGACTGCACCTGCACACACCTGGGCTACACCTGTACACACCTGGGACTGCACCTGTACACACCTGGGCTACACCTGCACACACCTGGGCTACACCTGTACACACACACCTGAACACACCTGGGACTGCACCTGCACCTGCACACACCTGCACACACCTGCACACACCTGGGCTACACCTGCACACACCTGGGCTACACCTGCACACACCTGTACACACCTGGGCTACACCTGCACACACCTGGGCTACACCTGTACACACACACCTGAACACACCTGGGACTGCACCTGCACCTGCACACACCTGGGCTACACCTGTACACACCTGGGACTGCACCTGTACACACCTGGGCTACACCTGCACACACCTGGGACTGCACCTGTACACACCTGCACACACCTGGGCTGCACCTGCACACACCTGGGCTACACCTGTACACACCTGGGACTGCACCTACACACACCTGGGCTACACCTGTACACACCTGGGACTGCACCTGCACACATCTGCACACACCTGGGCTACACCTGCACACACCTGGGACTGCACCTGTACACACCTGGGCTACACCTGAACACACCTGGGATACACCTGTACACACACACCTGAACACACCTGGGACTGCACCTGCACACACCTGGGCTACACCTGCACACGCCTGGGCTACACCTGCACACACCTGGGACTGCACCTGTACACACCTGCACACACCTGGGCTACACCTGCACACACCTGAACACACCTGGGCTACACCTGTACACACCTGGGACTGCACCTACACACACCTGGGCTACACCTGTACACACCTGGGCTACACCTGTACACACCTGCACACACCTGGGACTGCACCTGCACACACCTGGGCTACACCTGCACACACCTGGGCTACACCTGTACACACCTGGGACTGCACCTGCACACACCTGGGCTACACCTGTACACACCTGCACACACCTGGGACTGCACCTGCACACACCTGGTCTACACCCACACATACCTGGGACTGCACCTGCTCACGGCTGCAATGCATGCACACATCTGCACACACCTGGACCCACACCCAGCTCCACCCCCACACACCTGGCCTTGCCCTACACACACCTGGACCCACACATACATCCAACCCCACACACACACACCCACATACACCTGGAACCATGCACACACCTGGCCCTACACACACCTGGGACTGCACCTGCTCACAGCTGCAATGCACAAACACATCTGCACACACCTGGACCCACACACACCTTCAACCTCACACACCTGACCTTGCACACAGCTCCACCCCCACACACCTGGCCCTGCACACATCTGGACTCACAGAAACCTGGCCTTGCACACACCTGGCCCTGCACACACCTGGACTCACACACACCTGGCCCTGCACACACCTGCCCAGCTCAGGTCAATAATGTCCCCAAAGCCCTTCTGCAGGTGCAAATCCCCTCCTCTGCCCCAGTTCTGCCTGGCAGGTAGGAACACCTTGAGCTGAGCTCTGGCAGCAGCAGCACAGCCCTGCTCCCTGCAGCCAGGTGGGGCAGGTGAGGCAGGTGGGGCAGGTGGGGCAGGGGGCTCACCTCGGTCAGGATGGTGGTCTCGTAGGAGGGCTGGTACTTCTCCTTCTCGTGCGGCGTTCGCTTCTCCATCTTCTCCCGGTCGGTTTTCTGCTTCCGGTCGGCTCCTTTGGGCTGCCAGGGACACCCACAGGTGGCACAGGTGTGGGGGACACATACAGGTGGCACAGGTGACACAGGTGACACAGGTGTGGGGACACCCACAGGTGGCACAGGTGTGGGGGACACATACAGGTGGCACAGGTGACACAGGTGACACAGGTGTGGGGACACCCACAGGTGGCACAGGTGACTCAGCCCTCCTGGTGCTCGGCACAGGGAAAAGGAGTCTGGGGAGAAGCTTGTCCTGAGGGCGTCTGCAGGGACAGGGGTGTGACCACCTGGAGACACCTGAACACATCTGTAACCACCTGAATACACCTGTAACTACCTGGAGACACCTGAAACCATCTGAATACTCCTGTAGCCATTTTGTACACACCTATAACCCCCTGAGTACATCTGAATCCTCTCTGCAGACACCTGTAAAACCTAGAGACATCTGTAACCCCCTGAATACACCTGTAGCCACCTGGAGATATCTGTAACTCCCTGAACAAACCTGTAATCACCTGGAGACACCTGAAACCACCTATAGATATCTGTAACCACCCGAATACACCTGTAACTACCCAAACACACCTGTAGCCACATTGTACACACCTATAACTCTGAGTACACCTGTAACCACCTGAATACACCTGTAACTACCCAAACACACCTGTAGCCACATTGTACACACCTATACCTCTGAGTACATCTGTAACCTCTCTGCAGACACCTGTAACCACCTGAATACACCTGTAACTCCCTGAACAAACCTGTAATCACCTGGAGACACCTGTAACCACCTGAATACACCTGTAACTCAAATCCCACTGGAAGTACAGTGTGGAACCTCCACAGGTATCCAGGTGCTCCCTTTGGTAGATCCCTGCAGAAATTCCCTCAAACTCGGCTGTACCTGCACTCACAGGTGAAGGAATTTGGCCCAGGTGGACCAGGGGAGGGCAGAGCAGGACCCCAAACCCCGCTGACCCCCCCAAGGTGAACAGGTGAGAAAAGAGGAGCCAAGGTGAGATTTTGGGGGTGTTGCAGGTGGGATGGAGTCACGGGCACCCCAAGGTGTGACCAGAGCGGGAACAACCCCTCCCTTACCTGCATCACCTGCACCACCTGCACCATCTACAGCACCTGCATCACCTGCACCGCCTGCATCACCTGCATCACCTGCACCACCTGCATCACCTACACCCTGAACCACCTGCACCACCTGCATCACCTGCACCATCTACAGCACCATCTACAGCACCTGCATCACCAGCATCACCTGCATCACCTGCACCACCTGCAGCACCAGCATCACCTGCATCACCTACACCCTGAACCACCTGCATCACCTACACCACCTACAGCACCTGCATCACCTGCCCCAACTGCATCAGCTGCAGCACCTGCGTCACCTACACCACCTGCACCACCTGCAGCACCTGCACCGCCTGCATCACCTGCACCATCTGCACCACCTGCAGCACCTGCACCACCTGCACCCTGCACCATCTGCACCACCTGCATCACCTGCACCACCTGCACTCTGCATCACCTGCACCGCCTGCAGCACCTGCACCATCTACACCACCTGCATCACCTGCACCACCTGCATCACCTGCATCACCTGCGTCACCTGCAGCACCTGCATCATCTACACCACCTGCATCACCTGCACCCTGCAGCACCTACAGCACCTACAGCACCTGCACCCTGCATCATCTGCACCATCTGCATCACCTGCATCACCTGCACCCTGCATCACCTGCTCCACCTGCATCACCTGCTCCACCTGCATCAGCTGCATCAGCGGCTGGGGCTGTTATTCCTGAAGGTGGGAGGTTTCAGAGGCACCGGTACAAAGTGGGACAGAGCCCAGGTGGGAGCTCAGGTACCTTGAAGACCTTGATCTGGCAGCTGGCAGAGTGCAGGTGCTCGGTGTACTCGCCGCTCTCGTTCTCCCGGAAGGTGTCGATCTGCACGCGGAAGGGAACGCCCTTCTCGCCGCCGTGCTTGCGCAGCGTGAACTCCGTGCTGATGCAGTGCACCTGCGGACAGGTGAGCCTCCTGTGCGGCTGCCAGCGAGGGACAGAGCCCAGCTGGGCCCCACCTGTGGGACAGGGCCCACCTGGATATAGGACAGAGCCCAGCTGGGCCCCACCTGTGGGACAGAGCCCACCTGGATATGGGACAGAGCCCAGCTGGGCCCCACCTGGCTGTGGGACAGAGCCCACCTGGATATAGGACAGAGCCCAGCTGTGCCCCACCTGGCTGTGGGACAGGGCCCACCTGGCTGTGGGACAGGGCCCACCTGGATATGGGACAGAGCCCACCTGGGCCTCACCTGGCTGTGGGACAGAGCCCACCTGGATATAGGACAGAGCCCAGCTGGGTCTCACCTGGCTGTGGGACAGGGCCCACCTGTCCCTTACCTGGATGCAGAAAGAGCCCACCTGCCCCTTACCTGGGTGTGGGACAGAGCCCACCTGTCCCTTACCTGGATATAGGACAGAGCCCAGCTGGGCCTCACCTGGATGCAGGACAGAGCCCACTGTCCTCACCCAGATGCAGGACAGAGCCCAGCTGGGCCTCACCTGAATGCATGTCAGTGCCCACCTGTCCTCACCTGGATGTGAGGCAGAGCCCACCTGTCCTCACCTGGATGTGAGGCAGAGCCCTTACACACACCTGTACAGATAAACCTTACACACACCTGTAACCACCTTGTGCACCTGGATGCAAGACAGAGCCCACCTGTCCTCACCTGATAAGGGACAGAGCCCACCTGTCCTCACCTGGATGAAGACCGAGGTCCTCTTGGAGGGGTCCCACAGGAACTCCACGGTGTTGAGCTGCGTGGGGTTCGCGCGGGGGTCGATGATCCCCACGGACATCGGGATATCTGCAGGGGAGGGGGGGACAGGTGAGGCCCACCTGGGACCTTCCAGCTGCCCCAGCCAGGTGAGACTCACCTATGTCCAGGATCCTGTCGCCAGGCCTGTTCCACCTCCAGCCCTCCAGCTGCTGGTGCTCCGTGTACTGCAGCCGCCGGTCGTGGAAAACCACCCGGAAGATGCTCTGGGGAAGGGGGAACATCACCTGGAGCTGCCCTGCCACACCTGGCCAGGTGTGCAGCCCCTCCCTGTGCCAAACAGGGGCAAAGGGAACCACCCTCCTCCCCCAAACAGGTGAATCTCCCAGCAAACCCAGCTGCAGGGCCCTGGAGGGACCTGGCTGGCATGGGCACACCTGGCCAGGGGTACCTGAGCTCTCTGCTCACCTTGACCAGCTTCCCGTTGATCTCGGGCAGCTCCCCGAGTTTCCTGTTGTCCAGCATCCGGATCTCGTAGGACTGACCTGGGGGCAGGAGGGCACCTGAGCGTTTCTGTCACCTGTACCTGTCACCTGAGCTCCTCGTTCCTTTGGGGTCCCACCAACCCAGACCTTCCAGTGGTACCTGAAAGCAGCAGGTACACCTGAACCTGTAACTGCCATCCTGCAGAGCTGCCCAGCACTGACCTGTACAGAGACACCTTACACACACCTGGAACCCTCTGCATACACCTCACACACACCTGTAACCACCCTGCACACACCTGTACAGAGACACCTTACACACACCTGTAACCACCCTGCACACACCTGTACAGAGACACCTTACACACACCTGTAGCCACCCTGCACACATCTGTACAGACACCTTACACACACCTGTAACCACCCTGCACACACCTGTACAGATACACCTCACACACCTGTATGGATACACCTCACACACACCTGTATCCACCCTGCACACACCTGTACAGATACACCTCACACACACCTGTAACCACCCTGCACACACTTGTACAGAGACACCTCACACACACCTGGAACCCTCTGCACACACCTGTACAGACACCTTACACACACCTGTAACCCTCTGCATACACCTTACACACACCTGTACGGATCCACCTCACACACACCTGGAACCCTCTGCATACACCTGTACAGACACCTTACACACACCTGTATGGATACACCTCACACACACCTGTAACCACCCTGCACACACCTGTACAGAGACACCTTACACACACCTGTAACCCTCTGCAACACCTCACACACACCTGTACGGATACACCTCACACACACCTGTAACCCTCTGCATACACCTGTACAGACACCTTACACACACCTGTAACCCTCTGCATACACCTTACACACACCTGTACGGATACACCTTACACACACCTGGAACCCTCTGCATACACCTTACACACGCCTGTAACCACCCTGCACACACCTGGACAGAGACACCTTACACACACCTGTAACCACCTTGTACACCTGTAACCACCTTGCACACACCTGTAATCCTCTGCACATGCCTGTACAGTTACACCTTACACACACCCTGCACACACCTCTGCACACACCTGTAACCACCCTTCACACACCTGTACAGATAAACCTTACACACACCTGTAACCACCTTGCACACACCTGTAATCCTCTGCACACACCTGTACAGATACACCTAACACATACCCTGCACACACCTCTGCACACACCTGTACAGATACACCTAACACACCCCCTGCACACCTGTACACACCCCTGTTACCACCTTCCAGTACCCCCCAGGTGACTCCTGCTCCACCTGGGCCAAGCACATCCAGGTGCAGGCACTGCCCCCTCCCATTTCCCAACAGGACCACCCCAAAACTCAGCAATTCCCGGGGCAAACAACAAAACAACACCTTCCACAGGCAGAACCCCCAGCCATCCTGCTCCAAGGCACCTGTGCAGGACAGGTGTGCTCACCTTGGTTGAGGTAGGTGAGGGTCTCGTCGTGCAGCTTGACGGCGGGCGAGGTGGCGGCGCACAGCACGTACTGGAAGGGCAGCAGCTTGTCCTGGCTCTCGGGGGGCAGGCTGGACTCCTCCTGCTTGAAGATGGGCAGGGCCAGGACGTCGCTGTGGACAGGGGAGAGAGTCACCTGAGACAGGTGAGCTGGGGGGCAGGGGTGCCTTCAATCCAACCCTGGTACCTGGAGGATGAGCCCCACCTGGAACCTGGCTCTGCCTCCAGACCCTGCATGGGCCCAGGGCTGCAGGTGTGGCCTGAACATCTGGCTTCAGGGGCTCACCTGAGGCACACCTGTCACCTGTGGCACCTGAATACACCTGTCACCTGTGGCCATCTGAATACACCTGTCACCTGTGGCACCTGAGTACACCTGTCACCTGTGGCCATCTGAGTACACCTGTCACCTGTGGCCATCTGAGTACACCTGTCAACATGGGAGAGAGTCACCTGAGACAGGTGAGCTGGGGGGCAGGGGTGCCTTCAATCCAACCCTGGTACCTGGAGGATGAGCCCCACCTGGAACCTGGCTCTGTCCCCAGACCCTGCATGGGCCCAGGGCTCCAGGTGTGCCCTGAACATCTGGCTTCAGGGGCTCACCTGAGGCACACCTGTCACCTGTGGCACCTGAATACACCTGTCACCTGTGGCCATCTGAGTACACCTGTCACCTGTGGCACCTAAATACACCTGTCACCTGTGGCCATCTGAGTACATCTGTCACCTGTGGCCATCTGAATACACCTGTCACCTGTGGCCATCTGAGTACACCTGTCAGCACAGGAGAGTCACCTGAGACAGGTGAGCTGGGGGCAGGGGTGCCTTCAATCCAACCCTGGTACCTGGAGGATGAGCCCCACCTGGAACCTGGCTCTGTCCCCAGACCCTGCATGAGCCCAGGGCTGCAGGTGTGCCCTGAACATCTGGCTTCAGGGGCTCACCTGAGGCACACCTGTCACCTGTGGCACCTGAATACACCTGTCACCTGTGGCCATCTGAATACACCTGTCACCTGTGGCCATCTGAGTACACCTGTCAGCATGGGAGAGAGTCACCTGAGACAGGTGAGCTGGGGGTCAGGGATGCCTTCAATCCAACCCTGGTACCTGGAGGATGAGCCCCACCTGGAACCTGGCTCTGCCTCCAGACCCTGCATGGGCCCAGGTGTGGCCTGAACATCTGGCTTCAGGGGCTCACCTGAGGCACACCTGTCACCTGTGGCCATCTGAGTACACCTGTCAACACCTGGGTACACCTGTGAGCACTCCTGATCCTGACTCCGACCACTACAACAACCACAATTCCAGCTGGAACTCCAGCCCTGCTCCTTCCCTACTCCAACCACAGCTCCGGCCCAATGGCATCCTGAATCCATCCCAATGGCGTCCTGAATCCATCCTGAATCCATCCCAATGGCATCCTGAATCCATCCCGAATCCAACCTGAATCCATCCCTACTGCACCCCAAATCCATCCTGAATCCAATCTGAATCCATCCCTACTGCATCCCAAATCCATCCTGAATCCAATCTGAATCCATCACTACTGCACCCCAAATCCATCTGTACTGCATCCTGAATCCATCCCTACTGCACCCCAAATCCAATCTGAATCCATCACTACTGCACCCCAAATCCATCTGTACTGCATCCTGAATCCATCCCTACTGCACCCCAAATCCAATCTGAATCCATCACTACTGCACCCCAAATCCATCTGTACTGCATCCTGAATCCATCCCTACTGCACCCCAAATCCAATCTGAATCCATCCCTACTGCACCCCAAATCCAATCTGAATCCATCCCTACTGCACCCCAAATCCATCCTGAATCCAATCTGAATCCATCACTACTGCACCCCAAATCCATCTGTACTGCATCCTGAATCCATCCCTACTGCACCCCAAATCCATCCTGAATCCATCCCAATGGCATCCTGAATCCATCCTGAATCCAACCTGAATCCATCACTACTGCACCCCAAATCCATCCCGAACCCATCCCTACTGCATCCCAAATCCATCCTGAATCCAACCTGAATCCATCACTACTGCACCCCAAATCCATCTGTACTGCATCCCAAACCCTCCTGAATCCATCCCTACTGCATCCCAAATCCATTCCAATGGCATCCCATATCTATCCCTACTGCACCCCAAATCCATCCTGAACCCATCCTGAATCCATCACTACTGCATCCCAAATCCATCCTGAATCCATCCCAATGGCATCCTGAATCCAACCTGAATCCATCCCTACTGCACCCCAAATCCATCCTGAATCCAATCTGAATCCATCACTACTGCACCCCAAATCCATCTGTACTGCATCCTGAATCCATCCCTACTGCACCCCAAATCCATCCTGAATCCAACCTGAATCCATCACTACTGCACCCCAAATCCATCTGTACTGCATCCCAAACCCATCCTGAATCCATCCCTACTGCATCCCAAATCCATTCCAATGGCATCCCAAATCTATCCCTACTGCACCCAAATCCATCCCAAACCCATCCCAGCCTCAAAAACAGCTCCATGCATTGCTTCAGCCATAATTGCAATTACAACTCCAACCCAGCTCCATCCTTACTCCATCCCAACTCTATCCCTACTCCATCCCAGCTCCAACCCCAATTCGATCCCTACTCCATCCCAACTCTATCCCTACTCCATCCCAGCTCCATCCCTACTCAATCCCTACTCCATCCCAACTCCTTCCCAACTCCATCCCTACTCCATCCCTACTCCAGCCCCAACTCTGGCACAGTTCAGGGTTCCCACACCCCTGGCACCCCCTGCCATGCTGGGGACCCCTGGAGATTTTGGGGACCCCTGGGGATTTTGGGATCCCCCAGAGATTCTGAGGCCCCCAGAGATTTCGGGATCCCCCTGGAGATTGTGGGGACTCCCAGAGATTTTGGGATCCCCTCAGAGGTTCTGGGGACCCCTGGGGATTTTGGGATCCCCCAGAGATTCTGGAATCCCCCTTGAGATTCTGGGGACCCCGGAGATTTTGGGGTTTCTCTTGAGGATTCTGGGGACCCCCAGAGATTCTGGAATTCCCCTGGAAATTCTGGGGACCCCAGGAGATTTTAGGGACCCCTGGGGATTTTGGGATCCCCCAGACATTCTGGGGACCCATGGAGATGTTGGGGTTTCCCTTGGGGATTTTGGGGACCCTTGGACATTTCAGGGTTTCCCTTGGGGATTTTGGGGACCCCCTGAGATTTTGGGGTTTCCCTTGGGGATCCATGGAGATTCTGCGGTGCCTCTGGACATTCCAGGGTCCCCTTCTTCTTTGGGTGCCGCTGCTGAGGTGACACCTCCAACCTCCAGCTCCTTTTGAGGCTCCCCACTCCCTGCACGGCCCCTGCCTTCCCCGGGATCTTTTGGGGTGCCCTGTTTCGGGGTGCCCTGAGACTTCTGGGGTGCCCTGTGGGTTTTGGGGTCCCCGGTACCTCATGCTGTAGGCACCAGCGCCGAGCTCCTGCCCGATGCCCGAGAGGCTGGCGTCGAAATCCTGCACCAGCCCCGACTCGATCACCTCGTCCGCCAGCGGCAGCTTCAGCGCCCACGCCATGGCCCCAGGCACCCCGAAAACGGCCAGTGGGTCACCCCCAAAAACGGGGGGTCCTCAGGGTCACCCCAAAAATGGGGGGGGGGGTCAGGGGTACTCAAAAATGGGGGTGTCTCGGGGATACAGCAAAAGTGAGGTTTGGGGCACTCCCAAACGTGTGGGTTCTTGGGGTCACCCCCAAAATCAGGGGGCCTTGGGGTCACCCCCAAACCGATGGGCCTCGGGGTCACCCCAAAACGGGGTCTTCAGTGTCACCCCAAAAATGGGGTTCCTCAGTGTCACCCCAAGCCAGGAACTCCTCAGGGCACCCCAACACTTCCCCCTGATTTCTGGGGGTACCAAAGCTCCCCAAACCTCTTGAGGACCCTCTCCTGCAGTGAGCAATTTGGGGACCCCCAAACCCCACTATCACAGATGAATGAACCCCAAAACTCAGCAACACCCCCCCTCAAAGGGAACACCCCAAAACCCCTGAGAGGCGACACCCCCGGGGCGCCCCGAGTTCTACAGAGTAACCCCAAGGGCTGCAGCCAAGGGGACCCCAAAATCCTGCACTCCCCTCTAAGGGCTGGGACCCCAAAGCCCTGCACTGCCCTACAGAGGCTGCACCCAAAGGGACCCCCCCAAAATCCTGCACTCCCCTCTAAGGGCTGGGACCCCAAAATCCTGCACTGCCCTACAGGGGCTGCACTCAAAGGGACCCCCCAAAATCCTGCACTTGCCTGCAGCCAAGGGGACCCTAAAATCCTGCACTTCCCTCTAAGGGCTGCACCCAAAGGGACCCCAAAATCCTGCACTCCCCTCTAAGGGCTGCACCCAAGGGAGCCCCCCAAAATCCTGCACTTGCCTGCACCCAATGGGACCCCAAAACCCTGCACTGCCCTCAAGGGGCTGCACCCAAAGGGACCCCAAAGATCCTGCACTGCCCTGCAGGGGCTGCACCCAAGGGGACCCCCCAAAATCCTGCACTCCACTCTAAGGGCTGCACCTAAGGGGACCCCAAAATCCTGCACTCCACTCTAAGGGCTGCACCTAAGGGGACCCCAAAATCCTGCACTGCCCTCTAAGGGCTGCACACGTGGGGACCCCAATATCCTGCACTCCCCTCTAAGTGCTCACCCACGGGGACCCCAAAATACTGCACTGCCCTGCAGGGGCTGCACCCACGGGGACCCCCCCAGTCCAGGCCAGGACCCCCCAGTCTGCGTCGGGACCCCCCAAACCGGGCCGGGACCCCCCAGTCCGGGCCGGGATCCCCCAATCCGGGCCGGGACCCCCCAAACCGGGCCCGCCCCTCCGCTCCGGGCCGGGACCCCCCGCTCCGGGCCGGGACCCCTCCCCAGTCCGACCGGGACCCCCCCAGTCCAGTCCGGGCCCGCCCCCCCCGCTCCGGGCCGGGACCCCCGAACGCGCCGCTCCGCCAAGATGGAGGCGGCGGCCCCACCCCCGCCGCTGGGAGGGAGGCCCCGCCCCTCCGGCCCGCTCAGCCAATGGGACCGGGTCTTGCCGTGTGACGGGCGGTCACAATAACCAATAGAGAGCTGCGCGCCGGGCAGGCCGCTCAGGGATTGGCTGGGGGCGTGGCCGCGGCGGCGTGCGGCGCTGGGCTCTGTGAGGCGCTGGGCTGTGCGCGGCGCCTCCCTCGGGACCGCGGGTTCGAGTCCCGCTGCCGCCTCTGCCCGGCCACGGACGGGGGGGGGCGAAGAGGAGGAAGGACGGACCCCCCCCGCGCCCCCCCAAATCCCGAAAAAAGGGGAAAGGAAAAGAAAAAAGAAAAATACTGTTTATTTCACACCACTACATCAAGTGCATCAGTCTGCCGCGGCCCCAGCGGGCGCCCCCGTGTCCCCCCCAATCTCTCAGGATAGGGGGAGCTGGGGAAGGGGCGCTGCCTCTGCTTTGGGGTTCACGCCCCCCAAACCCGGCGGAGATGTCCCCAAAATCCACCCACGGGACGTCCCCAAGGTGGGGGATCACCTCCAGAAGCCCCTCACGAGGTGGGGGAACCGCAACGTGGGGGTGACATAAATTTGGGGTCACCCCCGGAGAGCCGTAACATCGCCTCAGAAACACAGGAAAAAGGGCAAAACCCAGGGAAATGGAAATCGCTGATTTTGGGTGGGTGGGTGACTGACACTCGGGGGGGGTCTGTCACCACGTGTGTCACAGGTGGGGTCGTGTGTGAGAGGAGGGGGCACACACAGGCACAGGTGGGCACAGGTACAGGCACAGGGACAGAGGGACAGAATCCATGGCCAAAGGGGCAAATCCGTGGCCAAAGGGACAAATCTGTGGCCAAAGGGACAAAATCCATGGCCAAAGGGACAAATCCGTGGCCAAAGGGACAAAATCCAGTGGCCAAAGTGCTGATGGCTGGAGGTCAGGGGCTGTGATTGGTGGGACACACAGAGGGATTCCCAGTGCTCCAAATTCAGGGTGCTGAGGGCACAGGGGGTGGGCACGGGTACGGGCACAGCAGGGGTGGCTAAAGGGACAAAATCAGTGACCAAAGGGACAAAATCAGTGGCCAAAGGGCGGATGGCAGGTGGTCAGGGGGCAACTGTGACTGGGAACTGGGATATTCTCAGTATTCCCAGTTCAGAGCGTGTGGAAGACGTTGAATGTTGGACACAGGTCTGGGCTGGTGGACACAGGTGAGGGCCTGGACACAGGTACAGGTGTGCTGAACACAGGTATGGGCATGGTGGACACAGGGACAGGTGTGGTGCTGGAACCAGGTGGCAGAGGGACAGAACAGTGCCCAAAGTGCTGCTGGCAGGAGGCCGAGTGGACCAGGGGGCACCCCCAGTTTAGGGCATGTGGGAATCGCTGAGGGGCAAGTGAGGGCCTGGACACAGGCACGGGTGTGGTGGACACAGGTATGGGCATGGTGGACACAGGTGAGGGGACCTGGACACAGCTACAGATGTGCTGGACATGGGTACAGGCCTCGTGGACACAGGTAAAGGTGTGCTGGACACAGGCACAGGTGTGGTGAACACAGGTACAGGTGTGGTGCTGGAACCAGGTGACACAGGGACAGGTGTGGTAATGGAACATGTGACACAGGTACAGGTGTGGTAATGGAACAGGTGACACAGGGACAGGTGTGCTGGACACAGGTATGGGCATGGTGGTGGCAGAGGGACAGGTGTGCTGGTGGAACCAGGTGACACAGGTAAAGGTGTGCTGGTGGAACCAGGTGACACAGGGACAGGTGCAGTGACAGAACCAGGTGGCAGAGGGACAGAACAGTGCCCAAAGTGCTGCTGGCAGGAGCTGGGGTGGAGCTGAGGGCGCTCCCAGTTTAGGGCATGTGGGGTCGCTGAGGGGCAGAGTGAGGATGGACACAGGTCTGGGCACGGTGGACATGGGTACAGGTGTGATGGGCACAGGCACAGGAGTGGTGGACACAGGCACAGGAGTGGTGGACACAGGTAAAAGTGTGATGGACACAGGCACAGGAGTGGTGGACAGGTAAAGGTGTGGTGGACACGGGTAAATGTGTGGTGGACACAGGTACAGGTGTGCTGGACACAGGTGGATTCAGTACAGGTGTGGTGCTGGAAGCAGGTGACACAGGGACAGGTGTGGTGCCAGAACCGGGTGGCAGAGGGACAGAACAGGGCCCAAAGTGCTGCTGGCAGGAGCCCGGGCAGACCCAGGGGTGCTCCCAGCGCCCCCAGCTCGGGGCACCGCTATTTGCAGAGGGGTCAGAGTGGGCATGGACACACATACGGGCATGGTGGACAGAGGGACAGGTGCGGTGACAGAACCGGGTGGCAGAGGGACAGAACAGTGCCCAACGTGCTGCTGGCGGGAGCCGGGGCGGAGCCGGGGGCGCTCCCAGCGCTCCCAGCCCGGCGCCCCGGGCGCTGCTGGAGGCGGTGCCGGTGCCGGTGCCGGTGTTGGCGGCGGGGCAGAGCCGGGCCGGGCGCTGCCCTCAGGGCACATGGAACACGTTCAGCTTGCTGGTGTTCTTGAGGGTCTGGCGGCGGTTGCAGAACCACACCCGCACCACCTCTCGCTCGTAGCGCAGCTCCTGTGCGATGCGCGTTATCTCCGCGCCCGTGGGCAGCGCGTTGCGCTCGAAGTGCGCGTTGAGCGCCTCCAGCGCCTGCGGGGTGAAGGAGGTGCGGCGCTTGCGCTTCTTGCCCGGCTCTCCCCCCACGAACTCCAGCAGGTGCTGCTGCCCCTCGCGCTGCCGCTGCTCCGCCTCCCGCAGCCACTTCTCCAGCACCGGCTTCAGCTTCTGCGCGCTCTTGGGCGTGATGTCCAGCTTCTCGAACCTGCGGGGACACGGGGACACTCAGGGGACACTCAGTGTGATGTCCAGCTTCTCGAACCTGCGGGGACACGGGGACACTCAGGGGACACTCTGTGTGATGTCCAGCTTCTCGAACCTGCGGGGACACGGGGACACTCAGGGGACACTCAGGGGACACTCAAAGGACACTCAGGGGACACTCAGGGGACACTCAGGGGACATTCAGGGGACACTAAGGGGACACTCAGTGTGATGTCCAGCTTCTCGAACCTGCGGGGACATGGGGACACTCAGGGGACACTCAGGGGACACTCAGTGTGATGTCCAGCTTCTCGAACCTGCAGGGACAGTGGGGACACAGGGGATACTCAGTGTGATGTCCAGCTTCTCGAACCTGGGGACACAGGGGACACTCAGGGGACACTCAGAGGGGACATGGGGTCACTCAGGGGACATTCAGGGACACTCAGGGGACACTCAGGGGACATTGGGCAGGGATGTCTTGGGGCTGACATCCAGCTTGTCAAACCTGAGGGGATCTGGAGGCCATGGGAGACCCTCAGGGATGGGGGACAAGGGGGCAGCAGGCTGGGACTGGGGGTGACAGTGAGGGGAGAGCAACGCCCAGCACCCTCCTTGGCCCATTCCCTTCCCTTTCTTGTTTCCTCCTTGGCCCATTCCCTTCCCTTTCTTGTTTCCTCCTTTGCCCCATTTCCTTCCCTTTCTCTCACTTTCTTCCTTGTCCCATTCCCTTCCTTTCCTAATTTTCCTCCTTTGCCCATTTTCCCTTTTCTCACTTTCCTCCTTTGTCCACTCCCTTCCCTTTCTCACTTTCCTCCTTTGCCCATTTCCTTCCCTTTCTCTCAGTTTCCTCCTTGGCCCATTTTCCTCCTCTGTCCCATTTTCCCTTTTCTCACTTTCCCCCTTTGCCCATTTCCTTCCTTTTCTCATTTCCTCCTTGGCACATTCCCTTCTTTTTCTCTCAGTTTCCTCCTTTGTCCATTTTCCTTTTTCTCCACTTCCCCTCTCTCCCCCTCTCTTCCCTTTTCCAATTTTCCTTTCCCCCTCTTTCCCCATTCTCAACTTTTCCTCCTTTCCCAGACTTTTCCTCCTTCTCTCCAATTTCCTCCCGTTTTCCTCCCATCCTCCATCTCTCCCTTCCCCCAGTTTTCCATCTTTTCCCCTTTCCTCCACCTGTCCCTGCCCCTGGGCCTACCCCATGTGACCGTCCTGTCCCCTCACCTGCAGCTGGCTCTGTCCCTGTCCCCCCAGGTGATATTACCTGTCCCTGTCCCTTAAAGTGACATTACCTGCAGGTGTCCCTGTCCCTGTCCCCCCAGGTGCCATTACCTGCAGATGGCCCTGTCCCTGGCCCTCTCCCTGTCCCTGTCCCCCAGGTGCCATTACCTGCAGATGGCCCTGTCCCTGTCCCCCAGGTGCCATTACCTGCAGATGTCCCCTCAGGTGCTATTACCTGCAGATGGCCCTGGCCCTGTCCCTGTCCCCCAGGTGCCATTACCTGCAGATAGCCCTGGCCGTGGCCCTGTCCCTGTCCCCCAGGTGCCATTACATGCAGATGGCCCTGTCCCTGTCCCTTTCCCCATCCCCCAGGTGCCATTACCTGCAGATGTCCCCGCAGGTGCCATTACCTGCAGATGGCCCTGTCCCTGTCCCTGTCCCCATCCCCCAGGTGCCATTACCTGCAGATGTCCCCTCAGGTGCCATTACCTGCAGATGGCCCTGTCCCTGTCCCTGTCCCCCAGGTGCCATTACCTGCAGATGGCCCTGTCCCCATCCCTCAGGTGCCATTACCTGCAGATGGCCCTGTCCCTGGCCCTGTCCCCCAGGTGCCATTACCCGCAGATGGCCCTGTCCCCATCCCTCAGGTGCCATTACCTGCAGATGGCCCTGTCCCTGTCCCCCAGGTGCCATTACCTGCAGATAGCCCTGGCCGTGGCCCTGTCCCTGTCCCCTCAGGTGCCATTACCTGCAGATGGCCCTGTCCCTGTCCCTGTCCCTGTCCCCCAGGTGCCATTACCTGCAGATGGCCCTGTCCCTGTCCCCCAGGTGCCATTACCTGCAGATGGCCCTGTCCCTGTCCCCCAGGTGCTATTACCTGCAGATGGCCCTGTCCCTGTCCCCATCCCCTCAGGTGCTATTACCTGCAGATGGCCCTGTCCCTGTCCCCCAGGTGCCATTACCTGCAGATGGCAGACTGGCTGTAGGCAGGGCCCTCGGTGGCTGTCAGGGCCTGCCCCACCTGGGTCTGGGTCAGCCCCAGTGAGAGGCGCCGCAGTTTGAAGTTCTTGGCGAATTCCCGGATTTCCTCCAGGTTGATCCCGTCCTCCTCCGTGCTGGGTGGGGCAGGGGGCTCTGGGGGGCACAGGGGGGGTGAGCGCTGGGGCTGGGGACCCCAGAGCCTGCAGTGCCCATGAACCCAGAGCCCACCGTGCCCAGGGGAACTCAGAGCCCGCTGTGCCCCCATATTCCAGAGCCTGCAGTGCCCATGAACCCAGAGCCCACTGTGCCCAGGGACCCAGAGCCTGTTGTGCCCAGAGCCTGCTGTGCCCAGGGGAACCCGCCCAGGGACCCAGAGCCTGCAGTGCCCCCATATCCCAGAGCCCACCGTGCCCAGGGGAACTCAGAGCCCACTGTGCCCCCATATCCCAGAGCCCACTGTGCCTGGGGACCCAGAGCCCACCGTGCCCATGAACCCAGAGCCTGCAGTGCCCATGAACCCAGAGCCCGCTGTGCCCGGGGACCCCAGAGCCTGCAGTGCCCCCATATCCCAGAGCCTGCAGTGCCCAGGGACCCCAGAGCCTGCAGTGCCCCCATATCCCAGAGCCTGTTGTGCCCAGGGACAGGGCCTGCTGTGCCCAGGGACCCCAGAGCCTGCAGTGCCCAGGGACCCCAGACCCTGCAGTGCCCCCATATCCCAGAGCCCACCGTGCCCAGGGACCCCAGACCCTGCAGTGCTCCCATATCCCAGAGCCCACTGTGCCCCCATATCCCAGAGCCTGCAGTGCCCAGAGCCTGCTGTGCCCAGGGGAACCTGCCAAGGGACCCAGAGCCTGCAGTGCCCCCATATCCCAGCGCCCACTGTGCCCGCGAACCCCAGAGCCTGCAGTGCCCCCGGATCCCAGAGCCTGCAGTGCCCAGGGACCCAGCCCACTGTGCCTGGGGACCCAGAGCCTGCAGTGCCCATGAACCCAGAGCCTGCAGTGCCCAGGGACCCAGAGCCTGCAGTGCCCCCATATCCCAGAGCCTGCTGTGCCCGGGGACAGGGCCTGCTGTGCCAAGGGACCCCAGACCCTGCAGTGCCCAGGGGAACTCAGAGCCCACTGTGGCCAGGGACCCCAGAGCCTGCAGTGCCCCCATATCCCAGAGCTTGCAGTGCCCCCAGATCCCAGAGCCTGTTGTGCCCAGGGACCCCAGAGCCCACCGTGCCCGGGGACCCCAGAGCCTGCAGTGCCCCCATATCCCAGAGCCCACCGTGTCCAGGGGAACTCAGAGCCCGCTGTGCCCCCATATCCCAGAGCCCACTGTGCCTGGGGACCCAGAGCCTGCAGTACCCAAGGACCCCAGCCCCTGTTATCCCTTTTGCCCTGGACCCCAGACCCAGCGCTCCCTCCTCCCAGTGGTTCCCTGACTCTGATTATCCCAGAAAACCCCAGTCCCTGTTATCCTTCTTCCTATTTCCCCATTATCCCCTTTCCCTGTCCCTGTTATCCCCCTTCCCAGTCCCTGTTATCCCTCTTCCCAGTTCCCCTTATTCCTCTGCCCAGGAACCCCAGATCCTTTATCCCAGGCCCCATTATCCCTTTTTCCCATAGTCCCTCTTATCTCTGCCCAGGGATCCCAGACTTTGTTATTTCTCTTCCCAACACTTTCCAGGGGAAAGTCCCTGTTAATCCCAGAGAACCCCAGTCCCTGTTTGTTACCCCTCTTCCCAGTTCCCATTATTCCTCTGCCCAGGGATCCCAAACCCCTCAGCCCAGACCCCCGTTATTCCTTTTCCCACACTCCCTCTTATCTCCTCCCCCAGTTCTTCTTATCTCCTCCCACACTTTGTTATTTCTCTTCCCAGGGATCCCACACTCTGATATCTCTCTTCCCAACACTTTCCAGACCCCACTATTACCAGGGGACCGCAGTCCCTGTTATCCCCTCCTCCCAGGGACCCCAGACCCCATCATCCCTCCTCTCACCCCATTATTCCTCCTTCCAAGGACCCCAGACCCCATTATCCCTCTCCCCACATGGCAGGATCCCAGTTCCTGCCATGCCCCTTCCCACTATTCCCCTTGAGCCCCTGTGCCAGCCATGCCAGCCCCTGCCATCCCTGTCCTCCCAGTGCTCCCTGTCCCCCCAGTGCCCCCAGTACTCCCAGTACTCCCTTTGCTCCCAGTGCTCCCTGTCCTCCCAGCGCTCCCAGTGCTCCCAGTGGCCCCAGTGCTCCCAGTGCCCCCTGTCCCCCCAGTTCCGCCAGTGCTCCCAGTGCCCCCAGTGCTCCCAGTCCCCCCAGTCTCCCCCACTGCCCCCGGTGCTCCCAGTCCCCTCAGTCCCCCCAGTGTCCCCCCAGTGCCCCCAATGCCCCTAGCACTCACTGTCCCCCCAGTGCCCCCAGTGCCCCCAGTCCCCTCAGTCCCCCCAGTCCCCCTCAGTCCCCCCAGTGCTCCCAGTCCCCCCAGTGCCCCCAGCACTCACTATCCCCCCAGTGCCCCCAGTGCCCCCAGCACTCACTGTCCCCCCAGTGCCCCCAGTCCCCCCAGTGCCCCCAGCACTCACTGGCCACCAGCTGGCTCACGGTTGGGGTCTCGGAGCCCGGGACGGGCCCCGGCGATGGCGGCACCGACACCTTGGGCACGGCCGGGGGGCTCGGCCCCACCCCCGCCGGGGCCGGCTGGATGGGCTGGACCTGGGGGGGGCGACATGGGCGGGGCTGGGAGGGACCCAGGGGTGACGGGGGGGGGGACCTTGGGGGGCTGGGGGGGACCTGGGGGTGACATGGGGGGGGGACTGGGGGTCACCTGAGGGGACCACAGGTGACCTGGGGGGGAGCGGAGGTCACCTGGAGGGACCGGGGTGACATGGGGGGGACCTGGGGGGGGGCCTGGGGGGGCCTGGGGGACCCAGGGGTCACCTGTGGGGGGGGGGGTTGGGGGACGTGGGGGTGACCGGGGGGGGGGGGGGACCGGGGGTGACCTGGGGGTAACTTGAGGAGGACCCGAAAGTGACTTTGGGGGTCACCTGGGGGGGACCTGGGGAGAGGGGGGATGACCGGGGGGGGATCCGGAGGTGACCTGGGGGTGACCGGAGGGCCTGGGGGGGACCCAGGGGTGACCTGGGGGGGACCCTGCCTCGGGGGGCTCAGGGAGCTCAGGGGTGACTCAGAGTGACTCGGGGGTCTCGGGGTGACTCGGGGGGGGCTCAGGGGGTCTCGGGGTGACTCGGGGGGCTCAGGGTGACTCGGAGGGTCTCGGGGTGAGTCGGGAGCACTCAGGGGGTCTCGGGGTGACTCGGGGGGGGCTCAGGGTGACTCGGGGTGACTCGGGGGGGGTTCAGGGTGACTCGGGGTGCGGCCTCACCTCGCTCTTGATGGGGGGCTCAGCTGGGCCGTTTTTCTTGCCGGGGGCGGGCGCGGGGGGGGCGGTGGCCAGCGCGGCCCCCGTGGCCAGCGTGGCCCCCAGCGTGGCGATCACCTGGCCCTGCGCGTTCAGCAGCAGCTGCGGGGTCACCGCTGTCACCTGCAGGCTGGGCGGGGCCGGCGCGGGGGCGGCCGCGGCCACCCCGGGGGGGGCCACGACCCACGGCAGGGTCCCGATCACCTGGGGGGGGACACAGCGCTGGGGGACCCCAAAACCCCCGCCCCGAGGGGGGGACACGGCCCCAGGTGTGGCAGCCCCGGGGGGGGCACGGGCAGGGGACCCCCCCCGCGGTACCTGGCCCTGCGTGGTGCTCAGGAGCTGCCCCGGGATCCCCTGGACGCTGGGAAGGGGGGTGGCGATGACGGGGGGGGCGCTGAGGGACCCCAGGATCTGCGGCTGCGCCCCCAGAGCCGCCGTGAGCTGCGGGATGGAAACGGGGTCAGAGCTGGGATAGCGGGGGCACCGGGACCCCCGGGGGGCGTCCCCCCCTCCCCGTGGCCGCTGGAGTCCCTGGGGGTCCCTAAATCCATAAATCCCCAAATCCACAAATCCATAAATCCCTAAATCCATAAATCCCTAAATCCATCTGCTGGGAGCTGCCCAAAGCAGAGTTACAGCTTGGGATGGGGAAACTGAGGCAGGGATTGAGTTCAGAGGAACGGAGGCTGAAATCCTGCCTGGGGAAACTGAGGCAGGGACTGAATTCAGGGAAACTGAGGCAGGGATCCTCTCTAGGAACACTGAGGTCACAGTCTGCCATGTGGAAACAGAGGGGGATCCTGCCTGGGGAAACTGAGGCAGGGATCTTGTTCTGGGCCCCAGGGCTGGAATCCTGCCTGGGGAAACTGAGGCTGGGTTCCTGCACAGGGAAACTGAGGCAGGGATCTCATTCTTGGAAATAGGGGCTGGGATCCTGCCTGGGGAAACTGAGGCAGGGATCTCAGTCTTGGAAATGGGGGCTCAGATCCTGCCTGGGGAAACTGAGGCAGGGATCTTGCATGTAAAACCAGGCTGGGATCCTGCCTGGGGAAACTGAGGCAGGGATTCTGCACGGGGAAACTGAGGCATGGATTGAGTTCAGGGAAACTGAGGCAGGGATCCTGCTCTGGAACACGGGGGCTGGAATCCTCCTTGGGGAAACTGAGGCAGGGATCCTGCACAGGGACACTGAGGTCACAAACTGCCATGTGGAAACAGAGGGGGATCCTGCCTGGGGAAACTGAGGCAGGGATCTTGCATGTAAAACCAGGCTGGGATCCTGCTTGGGGAAACTGAGGCAGGGATCCTGCACAGGGAAACTGAGGCACGGATCCTGTTCTTGGGAAACTGAGGCAGGGATCTCGTTCTGGGAGTCGGGGCTGGGATCCTGCCTGGGGAAACTGAGGCAGGGACCCTGTTCTTGGGAAACTGAGGCCGGGATCCTGCTTGGGGAAACTGAGGCAGGGACCCTGTTCTTGGGAAACTGAGGCTGGGATCCTGCACAGGGAAACTGAGGCAGGGACCCTGTTCTTGGGAAACTGAGGCAGGGATCCTGCACAGGGAAACTGAGGCAGGGACCCTGTTCTTGGGAAACTGAGGCTGGGATCCTGCACAGGGAAACTGAGGCAGGGACCCTGTTCTTGGGAAACTGAGGCAGGGATCCTGCACAGGGAAACTGAGGCCGGGATCCTGCTTGGGGAAACTGAGGCAGGGATCCTGCACAGGGAAACTGAGGCTGAGATCTTGTTCTGGGCCTCGGGGCTGGGATCCTGCCTGGGGAAACTGAGGCAGGGATCCTGCCTGGGGAAACTGAGGCAGGGATCCTGCACAGGGAAACTGAGGCCGGGATCCTGCACAGGGAAACTGAGGCACGGATCCTGCCTGGGGAAACTGAGGCAGGGATCCTGCACAGGGAAACTGAGGCAGGGATCCTGTTCTTGGGAAACTGAGGCAGGGATCCTGCACAGGGAAACTGAGGCCGGGATCCTGCCTGGGGAAACTGAGGCTGAGATCTCGTTCTGGGCCTCGGGGCCGGGATCCTGCCTGGGGAAACTGAGGCACGGCCCGGGCCCCGCCATTCCCGGGGCTCCCCGCGGCCCCTGAGCCCGGCCTGGGCTGGGCTCGCTCCTTACTATGCCGGGGTTAAAGGCCAGTCCGGCGATCTGGGGCTGGACGGACACCGGGGGCTCCTTTGGGGGGGTGGGCGCCGGGGGGGGCTGGGGCAGCAGCGGGGGCTGCCCCGGGGGCGGCCGCGGCGCCGGGACCGCCGGGACGGCCGGGACGGCGGGGCTGAGCACGGCGGCGGCTGCGGAGAGACGGAGACACCGTCAGTGGCCGGCGGCGGCACCGCCACAACGCGCCCGTGTCCCCCGCCCCATCCCCGGGTGTCCCCTCCCTCCCGGGGGTCTCACCTACAGCCGGGGCTGCTGCCCGGGCAGCCCGAAATGTCCCCGACACACCTGGCACAGGTGCACGGTCCCTAAAGCCACCCTGAGCTGCGGTCGGTCCCTCCCCGTCCCCACCTGAAGGGCTCCAGCCTCGCCTGCTGCGGGGGGGTAACACCTGGAACCCCAAATCTGCACCTGGAGCTACACCTGGAACCCCATATCTGCACCTGGAGCCCCAAATCTGCACCTGCAGCTCCAAATCTGCACCTGGAGCTACACCTGGAACCCCAAATCTGCACCTGGAGCCCCAAATCTGCACCTGGAGCTGCACCTGGAGCCCCAAATCTGCACCTGGAACCCCAAATCTGCACCTGGAGCTGCACCTGGAGCCCCAAATCTGCACCTGGAACCCCACCTGGAGCTGCACCTGGAGCCCCAAATCTGCCCCTGCAATCCCAAATCTGCACTTGGAACTACACCTGTAGCTCCAAATCTGAACCTGGAGCCCCAAATCTGCACCTGGAGCTGCACCTGGAGCTACACCTGGAGCCCCAAATCTGCACCTGGAGCTGCACCTGGAGCCCCAAATCTGCACCTGCAGCTCCAAATCTGCACCTGGAGCTACTCCTGGAACCCCAAATCTGCACCTGCAATCCCAAATCTGCACTTGGAACTACACCTGTAGCTCCAAATCTGCACCTGGAGCTACACCTGGAGCCCCAAATCTGCACCTGGAGCCCCAAATCTGCACCTGGAGCCCCAAATCTGCACCTGGAGCCACACCTGGAGCCACAAATCTGCACCTGAAGCCCCAAATCTGCCCCTGCAATCCCAAATCTGCACTTGGAACTACACCTGGAGCTCCAAATCTGCACCTGGAGCCCCACCTGGAACTCCAAATCTGCACCTTGAGCTCCAAATCTACACCAGGTGCGACACCTGGAGCCCCAAATCTACCTGGACCTCACCTGTTGCAAGCACGTGCCACACCTGGAGCTCCAAATTTACACCAGGTGTCACACCTGGAGCCCCAAAGCTGCACCTTCAGTACTCAAATTGCCCAAGCCCATTCAGCTCCCATGCAGCCACACCTGGAGCCCTAAATTTACACCAGGTGCCACTTCTAGAGCCCCAAATCTACACCTTGATACTCAAATCCCCCAAATCCAAGCCCACTGGGCTCCTTAAGATGCATCCACACCTGGAGTCTCAAATCTACACCAGGTGCCTCACCTGGAGCCCCAAAGCTACACCAGGTGCCTCAGCTGGAGCCCCAAAGCTACACCTTGATACTCAAATCCCCCAAATCCAAGCCCATTGGGCTCCTTAAGCTTCATCCACACCTGGAGCCCCAAAGCTACACCAGGTGCCACATGTGGAGCCCCAAATCTGCATCGGTGGAGCCCCAAAGCTGCACCTCCGATACTCAAATCCTGCAAGTCCAAGCCCATTGGCTCCTGCAGCCACACCTGGAGCCCCAAAGCTACACCAGGTGCCACACCTGGAGCCCCAAATCTGCACCTTTTATACTCAAATCCTCCAAATCCAAGCCCATTTCAGAGCCCTCCTGGAGCCACACCTGGAGCCCAAAATCTACACCAGGTGCCACAGGTGGAGCCTCAAAGCTGCACCTTCAATACTCAAATCCCCCAAGTCCAAGCCCATTGGCTCCTGCCGCCACACCTGGAGCCCCAAATCTACCTGGACCTCACCTGTTGCAAGCACATGTCATACCTGGAGCCCTAAACCAGGTACCATATGTGGACCCCAAAATCTACATCAGGTGCCACACCTGGAGCCCCAAAATCTACATCAGTTGTCACATCTGGAAAGCTACACCAGGTGCCACAGGTGGAGCCTCAAAGCTGCACCTTCCATACTCAAATCCCCCAAGCCCATTCAGCTCCTGCAGCCACACCTGGAGCCCTAAATTTACACCAGGTGCCACTTCTAGAGCCCCAAATCTACACCAGGTGCCACACCTGGAGCCCTAAATTTACACCAGGTGCCACTTCTAGAGCCCCAAATCTACACCAGGTGCCTCACCTGGAGCTTCAAATCTACACCTTGATACTCAAATCCCCCAAATTCAAGCCCACTGGGCTCCTGAATCTGCATCCACACCTGGAGTCTCAAATCTACACCAGGTGCCACATGTGGAGCCCCAAGTCTGCATCAGGTGTCACAGGTGGAGCCCCAAAGCTGCACCTCCGATACTCAAATCCCCCAAGTCCAAGCCCATTGGCTCCTGCAGCCACACCTGGAGCCCCAAAGCTACACCAGGTGCCACTTCTAGAGCCCCAAATCTACACCAGGTGCTACACCAGGAGTCCCAAATCTATACCAGGTGCCACATCTGGAACCCCAACTCTACACCAGGTGCCACTTCTAGAGCCCCAAATCTACACGAGGTGCTACACCTGGAGCCCCAAATCTACACCAGGTGCCACACCTGGAACCCCAAATCTACACCAGGTGCCACTTCTAGAACCCCAAATCTACACCAGGTGCCACACCTGGAGTCCCAAATCTACACCTTGATACTCAAATCCCCCAAATCCAAGCCCACTGGGCTCCTTAAGCTGCATCCACACCTGGAGCCCCAGATGGACCCCAGGTTTCACACCTGGAGCCCCAGCTCTGCCCTCTGCTCTCCTCTCAGCTCCCCGGTGCCGGTGCCGGCGGGCGGGGCGGGGTTACCTGCGGTTACCTGTGAGATTGGCTACGGGCGGTTTGAAAATCGCCCCCGCAGGTGCCGCCGGCGTCAGTCCCGGGAGCGCGGCGAGCGTTGCTGTGGGAATTGTCACCAGGGCCAGCGCCTGCTGGCCTGTCACCTGACCTGCAATACTGATGGGGATAAGAAGAGGTTGAGTAACTGTCCCTGCCGGAACCATTACTCCTGTCACACCTGTGGCTAAGCTTTCCTGAGCCAACACCTGCGGAGATAAATGAGATTTGAAAGAGAAACACAAATCAACGCCCTGCTCAGCATCAGGGAAACCCCCGCGGGCCCCCCCCGCCCCGCCTGGGACACCCCTCTGGGGAGGGGGCAAAGGGGGAACTGCCCGGGGAATCCCTCTGGGGGGGGGGCAAAGGGGGAGCCCCCCTGAACTGGGAACCCCTGGGGGAACCGGGGGGGGCTCCCTGGTGAACCTCTGGGGGCTGGGGAAGGTAAAGGGGGAGCCCCCCTGAACTGGGAACCCCTCTCCGTGGGGAGATGGGGGAGCTCTGTGAACTGGGGGGCACTGGGGGGCTGTGGAGGAGCCCCTCTGGAGGGGATTAAGGGGTCTCCCCATTACTGCTGACCCCGCTCTGTGGGGATGGGGGGGGGCAGAGAGGGGATCCCCTTTACCTCGGGGACCCCCCTAGCTCAGAACCCCTTCTCCATAGGGACACAAGGGGCACCCGGGGCCTCCCTTCCCGCCCAGGTCTGCGCGGGGGGACAAAAGGGCTCCCCCTTACCTGGCCCCCTCCCCGGGGTCCCCCCTGGCCCCGCAGCCCCGGGGGACAGTTACCTGTGGCGTGGCCTGCACGGCCAGGTGTGTCACGCCGGGCTGGCTCGGGGCGGGGCTCGAGGCCACCGGCGTGGGCGATGCTGCTTTGGCTTTCCCTGGGGGAGAACAGGTGCGGGTGAGAGGGAGACACCCAAACTCTGCACAGCCTCCCCCAGGTGTCCTCAGGTGCGCTCAGAGCCCGGGGAGGGGACGCAGGAGGGGCAGGGACCCGGGCCAGCCGCAGCGTGACCCGGGCGGTGACAGCCAGCATCCCCCGGGGGTGGCTTCCTCCTGCCCCGGCAGGAGAGAGGATGGGACAGGGGACAGGGGACAGCGGACAGGGGACAGGAGCGTGTCCTGCCGGATTTGGGGCGCTGGCCAGCAAGCAGCGAGGAATAAAGCGGGATCTCCCCAAAACGAGAGCGGCCGGGGGGAGGACCCACAGCCCAGGTGACACAAGCCAGACACCGCCTTGGCTCCCAGGGATGGAACCGGGAATGATCCCGGAGGGAGAGACCCGGGGGGAAACGATCCAGGGAAAGAGAGACCCAGGGAACTGCTGGGAACGATCCCGGGATGGGAGAGACACGAGGCGGGGGCCACGGGGAATGATCCCAGGAATGCGAGACCCAGGGGGTACCGGGAATGATCCCAGGAGGAAAAGACCCAGGGGAACCGGGAACGATCCCGAGAGAGACCCAGGGGGAACCGGGAACGATCCCGGGAAGGAGAGACCCAGGGGGAACCGGGAACGATCCCGAGAGAGACCCGGGGGGAACGATCCAGGGAAGGAGAGACGCGGGGGAACTGCCGGGAACGATCTCAGGAACGAGAGACCCGGGGGGAACCGAGAACGATCCCAGGAATGGGAGACCCGGGAGGCACCGGGAACGATCCCAGGAGGGAAAGACGCGGGAGGAACTGCTGGGAACGATCCCGGGAATAGGAGAGACCTGGGGGGAACCGGGAACAATCCCGGGAATGGGAGAGATCCGAGAGGCACCGGGAATGATCCCGGGAGGGAGAGAGCCGGGTGAGACATAAACTTAAAAGAATTTGGAGATTTTAGAGGAGCTAAGATTTTAGTTAGAGATAAAGCTTAATTGGAGCTAATTGAAATAAATGGGTAGGCCTTGATGAAGTTAAGAGTTAGTAGTTAATTAATAATTGATTGCTTGTCAGCACAATGTTTGGTTAGCTGGGTTTCTAATGAAGAATATAGAAACTGATAAATGGCTTTTAGGAACATCAGACAATTGTAGGGCTCCTCTGTTCTGAAACCAATTGAAGATGGGAATGGGAGTTCTACCAAGGGTTCATTTGTCAGATTTGTATTGAAAGGGTAGAAAGGTCAGAATGAGGAAGACTTCATTTACTTCCTCATTTTGGGACCCCTTCCCATGAAAGGGACCCCATTTCAAGGGACAAACTGCACATGCTTAATGGCTTTTGAACTAATTACCATAGGAAGAGGGGAATGGGATGTACCAAAGTTATGAATATGCATTTATATTTGGGGTATTCAGTACTTGTATAGATAAAAGGACTCTGTAATCACCTGTAAATTGCAGTGTGTATTTGGCAGTTATCCCACAATAAACATCCACTTTCTAACTCCAAACTCTTAGAGAGTTTTTGGATATTGGTACCAGATCAATATCCATGTTGGGAGTGGGATGTACCAAAGTTATGAATGAGTGTTTGTATTTTGGGTATTCAATACTTGTATTGAATTGATATCAATGGATCTCAAAATCCATAGATTTTGGATATCAAAATCCAGTGATCAATATCCATATTGGGAATGGGATGTACCAAAGTTATGAATATACATTTTTATTTTGGGTGTTCAATATTTGTATAGATAAAAGGACTCTGCGATCACCTGTAAATTGCAGTGTGTATTTGGGAGATATCCCACAATAAACATCCACTTTCTAACTCCAAACTCTTAGAGAGTTTTTGGATATTGGTGCTAGATCAATACCCATATTGGGATTGGGATGTATCAAAATTATCAATAAGTGTTTGTATTTTGGGTATTCCATACTTGTATAAACAAAAGGACTCTGTAATCACCCGTAAATTGCAGTGTGTTTTTGGGAGTTATCCCACAATAAACATCCACTTTCTAACTCTAAACTGTCAGAGTTTTTGTCCGTCACAGTTGGATATCGGTACTAGATCAATATCCATATTTGTAATAAATCACGGGGAACTGCTGGGAACGATCCGGGGAATGGGAGACCCGGGGGGAACCGGGAATGATCCCGGGAAGGAGAGACCCAGGGGAACGATCCAGGGGAGACCCGGGGAACAGCCGGGAACGATCCCGGGAATGGGAGAGACTCGGGGGGCGCCGGGAATGATGAAGGGAAGGGAAGGGAAGGGAAGGGGAGAGGAGGGAAGGGAAGGGAAGGGAAGGGAAGGGAAGGGAAGGGAAGGGAAGGGAAGGGAAGGGAAGGGAAGGGAAGGGAAGGGAAGGGAAGGGAAGGGAAGGGAAGGGAAGGGAAGGGAAGGGAAGGGAAGGGAAGGGAAGGGGAGGGGAGGGGAGGGGAGGGGAGGGGAGGGGAGGGGAGGGAAGGGAAGGGAAGGGAAGGGAAGGGGAGGGGAGGGGAGGGGAGGGGAGGGGAGGGGAGGGAAGGGAAGGGGAGGGAAGGGAAGGGAAGGGAAGGGAAGGGAAGGGAAGGGAAGGGAAGGGAAGGGAAGGGGGGGTCTCTCACCTGCCGCCTCCCCGCCGGACGAGCTCGGGGCGCTGGCGGGAGCGTCCTCCACACCTGGGGGGCCCCCCTGCGCCGGGGACCCCCCCGCTCCCTCCCCGGCCGTTTTGGGGTCCCCATCCACCCCCACCTCCAGCACCCGGATGGTCTCGTGGCTGGACATGACAATAACCTGCAAACGAACCCCAAAATTAGCTCCGGGTGCGTCACCCCCGGCCGTGCCCCCGGGGCCCCCCTGCCTCCCTGGTTTTTGGGTGCAGAGCCCACTTGGACCCCAGAGGAGCGAGGAACGGGTGGGGGAGTCCCAGCCCCCCAACACCTCAGAGCTTTGCTGTCAGCACCCCAACTCCAGGGGCACCCCCGGCTGACACCTGGGGCAGGTGAAACGCTGCCAGTGGCACCCCCAAATTCACAGCACCCCCACACCTAAAGCACGCCCTTACCTGCAGCACCCCCAAACCTACAGAAAACCTCCACAGCTGCAGCACCCCCAGACAGAACCGGCACCCCAAAACAGAACCGGCACCCCCAAACCAGAACGGGCACCCCCAAACCTACAGCAAAACCTCCACAGCTGCAACACCCCCAGACAGAACCGGTACCTCCAAACAGAACCGGCACCCCCAAACCTACAGCAAAACCTCCACAGCTGCAGCACCTTCGAACAGAACCAGCACCCCCAAACCTAAAGCACCCCCAAACTTACAGCACCCCCAAACAGAACGGGCACGCCCTGAACAGAACGAGCACCCCAAAACAGACCCGGCACCCTCAAACCTAAAGCACCCCGATACCTACAGCAAAACCTCCACAGCTGCAGCATCCCCAAAACAGAACCAGCTCCCCCAAACAGAACCAGCACCTCCTGAACAGCGCCGGCACCCCCACACAGAACCGGCACCCCCTGAACAGAACCGGCACCCCCAAACAGAACCGGCACCCCCTGAACAGAACCGGCACCCCAAAACAGAACCAGCGCCCCCAAACAGAACCAGCACCCCCAAACAGAACCAGCGCCCCCTGAACAGAACCGGCACCCCCAAACAGAACCGGCACCCCCAAAACAGAACCAGCACCCCCAAACAGAACCGGCACCCCCAAACAGAACCAGCACCCCCTGAACAGAACCAGCACCCCCAAACAGAACCAGCACCCCCAAACAGAACCGGCACCCCGAAACAGAACTGGCACCCCGAAACAGAACCGGCACCCCGAAACAGAACCGGCACCCCCAAACAGAACCGGCACCCCCACACAGAACCGGCACCCCCTGAACAGAACCGGCACCCCAAACCTAAATCACCCCAAACCTATAGAGCTCCTGCTGCACACTCGCAGCCCCCCGGGCCGTGCCCCCGCACCTGCAGGAGCGTGGCAGGGACAGGAACGCACACGGTGAGGGACCCGAAGCCCGCTGCCATGGCCGGGAGCGGGGGAGGCATCGCCGGGCTCTGAGCCGAGAGGAGCAGCCCGGGCGGGAGGGAGCCGGCTCCTTATCCCGGCCGCCAGAGCTGCTGCTATCAGCGGCTCCTGCCCTGCACAGCGGCCACAGCGCCGCACACACACCCACCCACCCCCGGGCCCTGGGACGGGCCCTGTCCCAAAGGACATCCCCAGTCCTGAGGGACATCCCCAGCCTCAAAGGACATCCCCAGTCCCAAAGGACATCCCCAGTCCCAGGGACATTCCCAGTCCCAGGGACATCCCCAGTCCCAAAGGATATTCCCAGTCCCAAAGGACATTCCCAGTTCCAGAGACCATCCCCAGTCCCAGGGACATTCCCAGTTCCAGGGACATCCCCAGTCCCAAAGGACACTCCCAATCTCTGGGACATCCCCAGTTCCAGGGACATCCCCAGTCCCAAAAGATATTCCCAGTCCTGAGGGATGTTCCCAGTCCCAAAGGACATCCCTGGTTTCAAAGGACATTCCCAATCTCTGGGACATTCCCAGTCCCAAAGGACATTCACAGTCCTGAGGGACATCCCCGGTCCCAAAGGACATCTCCAGTCCAGGGACATTCCGAGTCCCAAAGGACATTCCCAATCTCTGGGACATTCCGAGTCCCAAGGACATTCCCAGTTGCAGGGACATCCCCAGTCCCAAAGGACATCCCCAGTCCCAGGATGTCCCCACTGGCCCAGCCCCTCATTTGGAGTGGGGGGTCCCAGCAGGGCCAGAAGCAGCAGAGCCCCCAAAGTGCCCCCAGACTCATTTCTGGGCCCTCCCCAAGAACTGGGGGTGATCCCGGTGTTACATCAGAGGGGGCAAAACTTCCCCCAGAAGTTCCTGGGTGTTCCTTCCCCCTTCCCTTCCCTTCCCTTCCCTTCCCTTCCCTTCCCTTCCCTTCCCTTCCCTTCCCTTCCCTTCCCTTCCCTTCCCTTCCCTTCCCTTCCCTTCCCTTCCCTTCTAAATACATATTATATCAGCTTTATACAAATTTTAATATTAATGCTATGTGTATATTAAAGTTATATATTAATATAATTGTATTAATATATTAATATAATATTAAATATTAACTTTTTTCTGTTGTTAACTAAACTTAGACACAGTAGTGAAACAGCAGATACAGTTATTGTGAAAAATGCAAATTATAATAATATAATATATTATATAATAATAATATAATAATAAATATGCAAATATTAAAATGATTATTATATATGTTATGTTGGAAAGTTATGCTGTATTCATCTCTTTTAAGGAGTAGTAAACACAGGTTTTAAGCTATAGCATAATATTAAAACAGAAACTATGTGATGTAAGATACTTTTTGCAACTAGCTCAAGGAATGGAAAAGATAATCAAGGAATTCTTCACATTGTCCTATCTGGATAGAGATAACAGCACAGACACCAAAATCCCCACACACGAATTATTGCTCCTTATCAGGACAGCTCAGACTGCGAGGAACCAAGGCTGATTTACAAGATGGGGGGGAAGCTAAAATGAAGCAGAAACACCCTGGTGTGAAAGGAATGTTTGAATCATGCATGAGACCTATGAATATGCTATAGGTTATTGGGTTATTGCTTTTGAGGGTTAATCCTTTGGTAGCAAGGGGTGCTTTGGGGCACAGTGCAAAGCACCTGGACATCCACAATTCTTTGCTTTTTATTGTCCTAACTTTGATTGTCCAAATTCTTATCGTCCTAATTTTTATTACTATTTTCATTACTAAACTCATGAAACTTCTAAACTCATTCATTAAACTTCTAAAATTTTAACACAAGTGGTCAGTGGTCAGTGAGGGTCCCTTGGATGTGGTCAGTGGTCAGTGAGGTCATTGAGGGTCTCAGATGGGTGCAGTGGTCAGTGGTCAATGGTCAGTGAGGGTCACACAGATGTGGTCAGTGGTCAGTGAGGGTCCCTGGGGTGGGGTGCAGTGGTCAGTGAGGGTCTCAGAAGGGGTCAGTGGTCATTGAGGGTCTCAGATGGGGTGCAGTGGTCAGTGGTCAGTGAGGTCAGTGAGGGTCTCAGAAGGGGTCAGTGGTCATTGAGGGTCTCAGATGGTGCAGTGGTCAGTGAGGGTCTCAGAAGGGGTCAGTGGTCAATGAGGGTCTCAGATGGGGTCAGTGGTCAGTGGTCAGTGAGGTCAGTGAGGGTCTCAGATGGGGTCAGTGGTCAATGGTCAGTGAGGGTCCCTTGGATGTGGTCAGTGGTCAGTGAGGTCAGTGAGGGTCCCTGGGGTGGGGTGCAATGGTCAGTGGGGGTCTCAGATGGGGCCAGTGGTCAGTGAGGGTCTCAGATGGGGTCAGTGGTCAGTGGGGTCAGTGCTGGTGTTGGGGTCCCTGGTGTCACCCAGGTCTCTGTGGGGTTCCCTCTGGCACCAAGCCCAGCTGACCCTCAGGAAGGTGACACTGACCCTGGGTGGGGACTGAGGGTGGCACCCTGAGGGTCACCCAGTGCTCACTGTCCCTCACTGAGGATGGCACCCTGAGGGTCACCCAGGGCTCACTGTCCCCTCAGTGAAGGTGGCACCCTGAGGGTCACCCAGGGCTCACTGAGGGTGGCACCCCGAGGGTCACTCACTGTCCCTCACTGAGGGTGGCACCCCGAGGGTCACTCAGGGCTCACTGTCCCCTCACTGAGGGTGGCACCCCGAGGGTCACTCAGGGCTCACTGAGGGTGGCACCCGAGGGTCACCCAGGGCTCACTGTCCCCTCCCTGAGGGTGGCACCCGAGGGTCACCCAGGGCTCACTGTCCCCTCAGTGAAGGTGGCACCCCGAGGGTCACCCAGGGCTCACTGTCCCCTCACTGAGGGTGGCACCCCGAGGGTCACTCAGTGCCCACTCTCCCCTCACTGAGGGTGGCACCCGAGGGTCACTCAGTGCTCACTGTCCCCTGTCACCAAGGTCGCTTTTCCCCTCTGGCTCTGACCATTCCTGACCCCCCGAGGGTGGTGGGGCTGCAATTCCCGCAGGACAGACCTGGCACAGGAGGGCAGTGCTGGGGAAGGGCAGCACAAAAAGAGGGAAATTCACAATTCCTGAAGGGAAAGGACGAGATTTCCACAGCTCCTTGGGCACTGGGGGGTCTCACCCTCCCAGACCCACCAGGGCTGACCAGTTTGACCAGTTCTGAGTGGGGAGGGCACTGGCTTTGATGGGAAAGCTCCCAGGTTACCCCAGGATTTGGGGTGGCCACTCCAGCAATGCCAGAATTTCACCCTGCAGCTGCCAGAGCAGAAAATGAGCTGGGAATTCCATCAGCCCTCAGCTGATTTTTCCTTTTCCTGCTTTTCAATAATCTGGGTTAAATTTTCCCTTTTCTAGGACCTGATTGAGCTGTTTGGGACCAATGAGACTTTTAAGTGTCCCCAAAAGAACTGCCTCTATTATCAATTTAATAATTTTAGTAATTTTTATTGTGAGCAGCTTGTTGGGGAACTAAATATTGCTAGAATTATCTAGAGCAGACTATTTAATCTGCTGTCAGTTTGGGGGGTTTTTTGCTAAGTTGATTTGTCTTTTTTTACTGGAAATAAAAAGAATGGTGTGGAAAAAGCTTTTATTTTTCTCTTAGGTTAAATGTACATTTATCTTATGTATAAATTTGTCTCAACTAATTAAAAATCAGGGAATTGAACCAAATTAAACCCAGGAGTTGGTACAAACATTAATAAATGTTTGGAACCATCCAGTTGCAGGAATTTGTATCAGTTTTGCC